ATTGTCAGCTTAGGAGAAACCAACTGCTTACAGGGTAGTAGAAGGCAGGGATCTCAGTATAATTATGAAAAGGTCACATAAAGACAGTCTGTAGTTTTCAGTGAGAAATGGGCCAAAATAATTGGAAAAGTCACTGTAAATCTGGGTAAACATCTTCTGGTGAAAAAATATTTTGTAAGCCTAGTGGTTTAATATTGGACTGATCTTTGCATGACTTGTGTTTCCATGTCATGTTGTGAATTGAGAATTGCTACTCTCCCTACATGGCTTATCCCCCCCACCCCTCCATACTTAGTCAAATCAACTAACTTTGATCTGGCACCCACTGATGCACTCAGCTGGTGAAGCCAGGCAATGTACAATGTACATGTAAGTTAGGGTAACACACAGCAAAGTCTCTAATATCAATGACTTAGTATTTTTTTGCCAATTATAATAACTTACTGCATGTTTTTCAAGACATCTCTGTTAATTTTGATTGTGTTGTGCAGTTCCAGAAAATATCCATACTCCCCCCACAGAATGGATTGGAATTTCCTGGGGGGTGGGAGGTTCTATGAGACCGAAAAATTTAAAGAAATATATGAAGCTTAACTGGGATTTCCAGAGGGGTGGGGAGGTGTTAGAAAAAATCCCTTCTGTCGGGGAGGTATGGATATTTTCTGGAACTACACATTATGTTCACAATTTGATATTAATTAAAAATACTTGTTTTGTTTAGGATCAGATGGGTGCATTTCAAGGTCTCCTCCAAGGAGATGTGTTGTCAGTGCTTCTTGACGCAGGAGTGCTGTTTCTTCTCAGATGGTCATTAGATGACACTTCCGATGGAGTCATAGCAGCAGCCATTCAAGGATTTGCTGCCATCTTAATTGTCCCAAGTGACAAGGTATGTGATAGTAACTACATTTATACCATGCCATAGAAGATACAGCCAATCGGAATACAGGAAAGCCATTGTGTATTCAACAGTATATTTACATCCAACCTTCCCATCATACTCTGAGTGTCACATTGATTGTGTTGGTCACTGTCTTTTCTGTGGCATGATGTAAAATAGTTATGCAATGCTCTTTTGTGGTATACCATGGAATATTCCACTTGCCACTTGTATTTTCTTGGTACACACACTCGCCTAAAGGTTTGTATGTATACTAAGAAAATACAAGTGACTTGTGGGATATTCCACGGTACACCACTCAAAAGAATTGCATAACAGTAACTAACTTATATTTATATATTAAGAATATTCTGTGTTATTATACGGCTGTGTCTCCCAAGGACTGGGAACTACCGAATTCACGAATTTGATTGGCTGAAATCAATATTGAAAGCGGTCTAGATTTTCCCATCCAGACCGGCATCTAGACCAGTTACATTTTGCGGTGAAAAAGTTTCAAACTAAAATGCAAAAATATTGACTATTTTCTTCTAACAATATTTATTTGTGGAAGTGCCAAACTGAGCCTGATGAGAAAAAAAAGTATAGAGGACAAGCAAGCTTTGGCTTGTCAGCTAGTACAACCCCAGTTACAGTCAACAAATTAAATTTTTCTTGTTTGCCATATAATAAACATCTTATTAACTGAGCTTAGTCAGTCTGTATGGGAGAATCTTGACCTTGGTTGTGTGTACAGACCTCACTGCATTCGGTCTGTACTCATGACCGCCGTCAAGATTCTCTCATACAGACCTCCTGCTCGGTTAATAAGGGCCAAGTATTTGTTTTTAGTTTTGCAGTGAAATATGTCCTCTTAAGTAATAATCTGCTTACTTCTGAAGTGGAAAGTCATCAGTTATTGCATGTTCTGCACTCATTGGCCAATCAAAATCTGTTGTGCAACATATTTGTACATAAATTATTCTCTAAATTTGAGTTGCTTTTTTTTTACTTCTTTAGGAATTAGCTAATAAGGTGTTTAACTTTCCACGAGGGCAAGAACTCCCTGCTCTTTACCCTGTTATGGAGACAAAAGACAAAAAACAGTCTAGTGAAGATGAAGAAGAAGAGAGAAGTTTGACAGATGCTCAACAGTTAAAACAAGACACTGTCAAAGTATGGAAAAAGAGATTTAATAATAACAATTTTGAAAATTTTCTTCCTGGTAAATTCTGCATTGCATGTACAGCTTCTTCAGCGTAATACATGATTGTATAATAAACAACCTTTGTTATTAACCTTGTTAAGATTTGTCAGCCTATACTATGAGCAACATGTTCTTGTTTTTTTTCCTGTCAGTTTTTGGCTCTTGCACTTTTTGCTTGGGCCACAGGTCAGTGGGGCCCTAATGGGATGACCCTTGAACTTGATTAATGCTACTGTGTTACTTTTCAATATCAACAGGGTCTTGTCCAGATGAGCATTTTACCAAGATTAAGATACATCCTTGAAGTCTGCTGCCCTGGAGCACCCACTGTTCACGATATCCTGGACATTGTGACAAGAATCACACAGCATTCAACTCAGTCTGCTAATGAAGTGCTCAGATGTCCTAGACTAATGGAGGCCATCTTTGCTAACTTTCTTCCTCTGTCTTGGAAAGCATCTGAGCTGAAGAGTGAAGTAGTTCATGGTCAGCCTGTCGCCGCTGCTATGAGACTGACAAGGGCGGTTTGTTGTGCAGGAAGGCATATGGCTGCAACTTTGGTGAGTTGGGCCAAATATGTTTGTCATGCAGAACAGAATCCTTTCTCCCATATAACCGCTAAAGCAACCTCTAATCTTTTCCTTCATCTGCTAAGGCAAAGAGC